CCTCCTCCCTGGGGGACAGACAGCCGAAGGGTGGATGAGGGGAGAAGTCGGACGGGGCAAGATATGACAAAATACCCATTTATAAACTATCAAGGGCTCATGCGGGAGGGGGGAGCGGGGAGGGAGGGGAAAGATGGGGACCTAATGTCGGGGGTTTGAATGGAGGGAAAATGTTTTGGGGAATGATGTACGGGTACGCTTTGCACAGTTGATGTGTGTGTGGATTGGGATAGCAGTTGTATGAGCCCCTAGTAAAATGTTAAAAAAAAAAGAAATGTTTATGATCATTGGCTATAAAAGAAATACAAATGAAACTATTTCATAATGACACTGATGGCAAAATTCATTAAAAAAGAAAATAAATACTAGAGAAGATGTGGAGAGATTGGAGTATTTATAAAAGGCTGGTGGGACTGCAGAACTGTATAGCTATTATGGAGAACAGTATATGGTGTTTCTTTAAACAAATGTGGATAGAAATACCATATAGCCCTACACTCTCTACTCAGTATATACACCCAAAGAAATAAAGAACAAAATACAAACAAATATATGCACATATGTTTATCACAGCACTTTCTGGAATAGCAAAACGATGGAAACAATCAAAAAGTCAGTCTGTAGAGGAATGGAAAAATTCTGGTACATATGGAATACAACATTTTGCATTTCTAAAAAACAACAGTGAAATGTATCAAATACCACATGATATAGATTAATTTAGCAGACATTGTGCTCAACAAAGACAGTGAATCTCATGAAGACAAATATTACATGATACATTATAAAGGAGAAAAAAGGAAAATGGTTTCCATACAAAAAAAAAATCGACTTGGAAGATGATGCCAAAGCTGGCGGGGTGGGGCAGGGCATTGAAGAGATAAGGAGAGACAGAGCAGTAAAGAAAGAAAGAAATGGTTACATACCCTGAAGGGCTGACAAGGATACTGTCCTGATCAGATGGGCTGTACCACTATGGCCCCCAAAGCACAAAAATTAAAACTCCTAAAGCACAAATAATTAACTGTTTCTCCTGGGTGTGTGTTACAAAATATCTGACCTTATAAAGGCAACGCCTACTTGAAGTCAAGATTACATTTCCCAGAATGAAAACAAGCAGCACATACAGAGTACACGATGAAAGATGCTCGAGAGAAGCAAAGTCACCTTTGGAACCACACAGCGCCATGGTGAGGGGGCTGTTGCTCTTGTCAAGCTCTCGAAGGCAGGCACTGCCTGCGTGATCCCGGATCACAGACAGCTCCTTAAGGATCAACGCCTGTCAGAGAAAGAAAGAGAAAGGCATGACGGAGCCATCGTCACTGGAACTGTTGCTTCAAAATGTTCGTTATGACCTTGAAAGAACCTGAAAAACGTATGCAGTATGTTAGATTTCTAACTGATAAAGGTTTCAGAGTCTTCCAAACCCCAACTCACTGCTGTCGAGTTGGTTCAAACGTATAGGGGCCTTGGAGGGCCAAGCAGAAATGCTCCATAGAGCTCAGAGGCGTCAATCAATCTGGCTGCAGATTGCTCATCTGTTTCCCATGGAGTGGCTGCTGGGTTCAAACTGCTGACCACTCGGCTAGCAACCCTACTGAACCACTAGGGCACCTTTCAGAGTCTTAAAGAACCAAAACTCAACATCTATGAGGAGTGACATCTTATCTTAACACCAGGGTTCTAAAATGGGATGGCAAAACTGGTTTCACAAAATACGTGAAAAATCCTTTGCATGCCCCACAAAGTCCTATGGCCATGTGTACTCTATCACAATGCACATATACAAAAAGAAAATGAGTAAGACAGATCAGGTGTACAAGAAAATAGCTTGCATTTTTAATAAAAATTTGTATTTTTTTCTTGCCAAGCACCCACACTTGATTTTCTCCAAGCTAAGTGTATAATTATGTGACTCCACAGGAATATTTTGTCCTGTGAGCACATCCATTCCTTTTCTGGCCATGCTCAACTCACAACTGAGGAAGTGAATCAGTCAGACGTCATGGTC